GTACCGGTCCGAGGCCCGGGGGTTGGGGACCGCTGACGTAGAGAATGTAGCTGTGTAAACTTCAAATATCTGCTCGATTTATCAAGACATCACATATTTCTAAAAGTGCTCCGACATTTTCGGAGACGTCTGTTACCCACCAGCTCGATAGCTGACCGCGGCGATAACGGCGAACTCTGGGCACATCGTTTTCAACCCACCGGAGTTAAACATGATATATAAGTCACTCAGATAACTTAAAAATGTTATTTTTTCAGTGTTTGATTTGTTCCTGAGTAAATCGGTTTGGCTGAGATTAAAGTTCTAGTTTTCACACAGCTGAATAAACGTCAAACAGAAAACTGATTAAACAGAAGTGAGACGGTGGAGAGTTTACTCCAGTGTCCTGTTATATTGAGGAAGCAAGCAGCAGACGGCCGAGTTTATTAAACTCTACAGAGACAGCGGTGACGCAAATCTGTCCAGCTTTTTCAGTCTTCAAAGGACCCGCCCACGTAGACCGCGAAGGCCGGGTCCTCAGGACGATGCAGCCTATGAATTTGGACACAGCTAATAACAATGCAATGCCATGTAATCGCCATGGTAATAAGGCTACTTTCACGGGTCGCCACTGATGGTAGCTCTGCTAGTTGGAAGTTTTATACCAGCTAGGGATCTTTGACTGTATGTGATTACCATGGTAACAGGAAAGAGCTTGATATGAATCTTGTAATATCAGGTGTGGGAATGTTAGTCACCGTCTGATTGACAGTTTTTATCAGGTGGCCCCGAGTGTCAGGTGTGCAGCAGCATGTTTAGTTGACCGATGATGGTAAGTTCTCCAGCAGGAGGCGTTCGAGCCGCCACACGTTGGCAGCTCAGTGACGCTCTGTGTTGGATTTCTAAACAGGCTAAGAAGCTAGTTCTTCTGGTGTCTCAAGCTAAAGAGTCCAAAGCTGGTCATGCTGTTACCACAGCGCCCCCACATGACAGAGAAAAGAAACTGCTGTATGTAGATGCTTGTGATTAGTTACAGAAAAGACACGACTGGACAAATCATAGAAAGAAACTCGTTTATTGATTGTTAAATAGTAAAATAAAGTTTTCTTTTAAGGATATGTTGAACTGTTTTGAGGTGAGACGAGCAGCCACACAGGAGTCAGGGAGGCTTTCACAATTTTAAATTAAATGAATCTGTCAGACTGAAGGGAGACATGACTTCACATCAGCACAAAACTCTTTCACATTATCACTGAACTCTCTACAGAAATAAAAACAAAGCTCTGACGGTACATCTAGACCACATTAAGTCATACAGTCACATTTTAAAGTTCACAGGTGTCTTTATATCAGGGGTGTCAAACAGGAGGCTCGGGGCCCAGCAAAGACTAATTCGGCCGGTGGAACAAGTGAAGGAAGGCATACATTTTGCCCTTTGAACTGTATTTCCATAAGTTTGCAGCTTTTCTTGCTGATAAAGACGTCCACCATCCACATTCATACTATAACACAGAAATAAAATAACAGAAAATCAGTTTGAGGGCAGAAAAGTTCTTTTTTCAATAATGAGACTACAGTAAAAGTTTTCTGTGAATTAACAAAAACTTGGTGTTTTATAAGTACAGTGTGAGGAATGAGCTCTCTGAACATTTAAGCCCAAAGAGTCAGGCTGGCAGGTTTCTTTCTTTCCTGCAGCTGCTTTTATTTATCACGTAGAAAAACTGAGCTGTACTGTGCAGACTGCCCTTCTTGGTCTCATATCAACACATGTCAGGGATTAAATATGTACTTAAGCTTCTTTACGCTGACAGAAAGGCCACTTTCACTGGTCCGGGCCTTTTAACACAGGGTGGGCTGTATGTGGCCACAATGCAAACTGAGTCTGACACCCCTGCTTTACACCTTTATCCAGCAGAAACTGACAGTTTGACAAAAACAGCTTTAAAAATCTCTTCAAAGGGATCAAATCTGCATCATTACCTCACATGAAAATACAAATAAATAAAAACATGAACAATATCTCAAAGAAATATAGTGAAACTAAAACATTTCTTCACATTCATTCTCCTCTCTTCATTACTTTTTAGTCTCTTTAAAGCTAATTCATGTGCAGCTTCTTCATATTGTGCATGTGCCCAATACTGTCCTGTTTTGCATAGTTTAACATTTGATTCCTTCACAGCTTGAGGGGGTCGGACCGCTCTCACATCGCTCTGCTAAATGTGGAGCCATGAAGCTGTTTGCTTAGCTGAGCAGAAAAAGGTGCGTCTCTGTAAAGGCTCACAGCGTTTCTGCCAGGATCCAAACCAAGTCAGCTTTAGAGGATTTTCAGCCACTTGTTCCGAGCTCAAGCATCCTGACTTTTACTCTGCTGCAGGTCAGAGACCTCACCAGCTTTTTACTGCTCTGCATCCATCTGACAACAACATTAGTCACATTAAAAACATATTTATTTGAAGTCCCGACAGTAATTATGGACTCTTCAGTGCATTTACATGATGCTGTTACTGACCGTGAAACAGTCGATCAGCTGACTGTCTCTCTGCTTCTTCTTTGGTAAATGAAACATACTAAAATCTTTCCTTGGACTCATCGTTGCATTAAAACTCGAGGCTTCGTGCTAAGCTAAGCTAACGTCTCCTGGCCTCAGATTTGCCCAAATGTTGAACTATTCATCTTCTGTTCACGCTTCCAGCCGCTCTGGCATAAAGTGAAGCTACAGCGGCACTCTGCTTTAGTGGCATTTCACATTAATCTGCATGTGCAAACTACTCAAAAAATACAATAAAATACAACAAAATAAATACTAAAGTGTGAAAGCACATCCTCGTGTCTTTGGTGAAGTCTCTGTGCTTCAGAGGTTAAACCTGCAGGTCTCACAGTTTTAACCGTGTGAGGAAAAAGAGACTTTTTAATTTAAAAAAACATGGGAAGAAATCTCACTTTCTTTGGACTTTCTGGTCTGTTGGTTGGACGTTTACTGAAAGGTGGAAACAAGCTGCTTTCAGACGAGTTATTCCAAGAAATAATCAAAAAACCTGACTGACTGCAGTCCTGCCTGATTTAAGTCACTCATTAAACTCTACAGAGCAGACTGATGCTCGGACGGATGATGGATCCGTCTTCATCACAACTCAGTTTTAAACAAAAAGAAATCACCACCAGTTTCCACTTGCAAGTAACGTCTGAATGACGAAGGAAAGTTACAGGTAGTTGGAGATAAAGTGCTATATTAAATAAGCTTGATATGTATTTGCACAAAGCAGCGCAGCAGCTGTAATAGTTTTCTGTCACACAGCAAAGGTCTGAGGCTCTTTGAGGACGTGAAGCCTCTGAGTCTGTCTGCGCTTTAGTGTTGGTGCTGTTTATGATTAAGACTCCAGAATGACCGATCACGGTTAGTTTCTCTCAACTATCCAGACCAAAACGGGCCTGGATAGTTGCTGAGATATTGTGGTGTGGACTGGCAGCTTCAGGACAGAAAATCTTCTACTACTACTTACAGAAAACATTTTCACATGCAGGCAGAAAGCTGTGATAAATATTCGTATAGTGTAAGTGAAGGTGCTGCACAGCTATAAATGGCCTTCAGTGTGAGTAAAGCTTAGTTTCTCAGATCACTTAGTAATTTTGGGCCTTACACAAGTGCAGCCCAACGGGACTTCGATACGCGTCTTCCTGACTCGATATGTGTCTGCGTCCTTACACGTGGTCTTCATCAGGACCACCATCGGAGCCCGAACCTCCACAGAGTTGTAGCTGTTCACCTCGCGCCCGTCGATGATGCATCCCTTACAAAGGCACTCGGCAAAGATGATGTCACGTGGATACCTGCTGTCGTTTCGGTCTATGCTGGAGACACAGACAGACAGAAAAGACCTCAACACGTGCAGGAAACAGTGAACACACAGCAGATTCAGTCAGGACAATACGCGGCTTCTCAAATCAAAGCTCGTTTAATATTAAAGCTGGTAGCTTTCATCTGCTCGCTGGTTCCAGGTTGAACTTCCTGAACCAGCTCAGCAGCCGTCCATCCATTTCTACTCCGCAATAATCCAGCCTGCTCTCTGCACATCCAAACTTTGGATCACCCACCACCAGAGATGGGCAGTAACGCGTTACTTGTAACATCCACCATACCTGCTGCTGAACCAAAGCATGATGTATACCATGTTGGTAAATAAATAAAGAATTATTAAATATGTTCCAATTCAAATAGATTTTAGCCAGAATAACGCGTTATCGATTCATTAAATCCTGAATCTATTTTTGTCAGTCTCTGACCAAAATTCACTGAACCAGCAGCAAAAAAAGTTCCAAGCTACACTTCACATTTGTAAAACATCGTCACTGTTTCTCTCTTACTTTGACTGTTTTGCTTCCACCACGATACGATCTCACTTCCTGCACAGCTCTGTCTCTCTAAGTGTCTTTCAAGAACAGTTTCCCATCTCAAATCTCTGTTTTCTGCATTATTTGCTGCTTATTACGCACCACCTGTGTGTTCAGTGCAGTCAGCCTCTGACAAGAAAGCCTGTTCAGTGCAGAAATGTAAACTTTTTAAAATGATGCCAAAACTCTTAGCTGAGTCTCTAATCAAACCTCTGGAACTTCAGCAGCATCAAGTTCAGAAGCTGATTCGTGGTTTTCTTCCATTTTTGATTGGCTGCAGAATATTTTTAAGGTTATCTGTTAGAAAAAGCCAGACCAGGAAAATCTCCTTTATGTGTTTCTGTTTTAGCCTCAGTTACTTTGAGACAAACGCATCTGTTGTGATGCTCACAGCTCTGATGAAGGGTCAGCCTTGTTTTTATACAGAGATTGAAAAAAAATATAGAATTAGAATATTTCTGACTGTCAGTCAAAATTCAGTCGAATCGATGATAGAAATTTGCGACAATACCCAACATTCAAACTTTCATTCAAACAGTAATGAGTGAGAGAATGAGCATTTTTGTCCCTCTGCGGGTTCCATACTTACTAGTAACGCCACGGAGACAGCGCGCGGCCGTTGAGTTCGTGCATTTGCTGGGCAGCCTGTTCGCAGGTGGTGAGCTCCTGGTGCTCGCGGGCGTCTCGCTGAAGGTCGAGCTTCTTCAGGTTCACGTCAAACTTTCGCTCGCGGGCCTCCACCTTCTCGGCGCTGAGACACCTGGAGGCGGCCGGGCGGAGCTCGTGCATTTGCTGGGCAGCCTGTTCGCTGGTGGTCAGGTTCTGGTGCTCGCAGGCGTCCACCATCTCGGCGCGGAGCTCGTAGAGGATCAGCAGAGAGAAATGCAAAGTGGCAGAAACAGTCAGAGAGAGCTTGGCGTGATTGGCCATCTTGACTTCGGACGGCTGAGACTGGCGCCGCTCCATTGAAGCTGCTTTAAATACGGTAGCGGAGCTCCTACGGCTGCCCGGTTGCCATGGGGATCTCCTCAACATTTCCTCACGACAAACAGTCCGCGTGCGGCCCCGCCCCTCTGCTGGCTGTGCGCTGTGTTTGTGACCGCGAGCAGACAGCCTCGTACCTCTAATAAACTCCGCCGTGAGCTCTTTTTAAACATTTCACACGTTTCATTGTTGGTTTGTTTTTTTAAAGGTAGAGACAGATGTTTATGTTTTACAGAAACGTGAATATTGTCAGGTTTTCTGCAACTGCTGCTGTTCTGATCCTCAACAGTACATCTCAGTGTTTACATGTGTTTACACAGTTTTTTTTTTTTTTTTTGTTAATTCTGTGGAGCTGAACACTGCGGCTTTACACAAGACTGAATACAGCTGACTTTCTGTAGCTTTTTATTAGCAGTGACTTTATTTATTCTTCACATGTTGATAGTTTCATGTTGACTTTTGGCAAAATGCAGTGACAACAGATCTTTGACTTTAATGTGTTTCTTTTTGTTGTTCCCTTTTTTTTGACCTATTGACCTATTCAAGGCTGTAATAACCTCATGCCAAATAATCTATTTTGCAATTAATGTTTGGAAAATATTGGATATTATGGGTCTCCCCAAAAAAAAAAACACAAAAAAAACCCAGGGGTCTTTATGACAATAAAGCCACAGAAACCTAAAAAATATTTAAAAAATAATGAAAAACTTTATACCTATGGTTAGGTCTGAAGTTGTTTAAAAGATGTGATGTGGAAAAAAATGAAAAATTAATTCATATATGATAATGCTATATCACCTGTTGGATGGGGACCCGTTTGGGTCCCGAGGGTAAACAGTGGATGTAAATTTTAAAAACTCTTATTGCTCCAAAAATAATAATGCATCCAAATCAATTTTGTTATCAATTATTGACCTATTCAAGGCTGTAATAACTTCATGCCAAATATTTTACTTTGCAATTAATTTTTGGAAAATATTGCATATTATGGGTCTCCCCCCCCCCAAAAAAAACAGGGGACCTTATGACACTAAAGCCATAAAAACTTTAAAAGATCTGATGTGGAAAAAAAAGAAAAATTAATTCATATATGATAATGCTATATCACCTGTTGGATGGGGACCCGTTTGGGTCCAGAGGTTAAACAATGGATGTAAAGTTTGAGGGATGCTGAAGGGTTAAACGTTTGCAAAATGTATTAAACTAGGGTGACCAACCGTCCTCTTTTTTCTGCACTTGGTGATTTGTAAAAACCTTTATAACATTTTTTATTTCACCATTCATTAACTGCACAGAGACGGTACCGTGTAAATATGTTAAAGTTTTCTTTAAGAAAACAGTATTATTAAAGTTCTTCATGACTGGGCCAAGTGTCCTCTTTTTTGGAAATCAAAATATGGTCACCCTAATTAAACGGTCCAAGGTTCAAGTCCGCACTGTGCCATGAAACACCCGTATTCTCCTGTAAAATATAAATGTGAAATAAAAGATAAAACACATGAGGAATTAAAAAATAAAACGTGAGGTCGTTCCTGACTCTTCACATGGAAAAAAAATCCTCTTGAAGGTTCAAACATCTGGAAACGTCTCCTGCAATATCAGCATCAGGAACAGCAGCTGAAAAATGGCTGCTGCAGTTTTTACTATCTGCACACTGGATTCTCTTTGTGGGGGGACCGGTTCTGACGTCAGGGCCCCCCCAGGTCGTCATGAACTGTCAGTGAACACGCTGCTGTAATTTTACAAGATAGCAAGCAAGCAATTTATTAATATAGCACTTTCAAAACAGATCTCAGCTGAAAACAAAGTGTTGTGCACATGACATAACAAATAACAAAATGAAATAGTATATGTAAAAAAAAAAAGCAAATTCAATCAGACAAAAACCATAAAAGGTCCGGGTCAGACTGTGTCATAAGCCAGGGAGTAAAAGTGATTTCTGAGACGGGCTTTAGAAGTGGACAATGATGGAGCACGAAGAAGCTCAGAGAGATAAGGTGGAGCAAGACCTTTAAAACATTTAAAAAAAATGCATTAAAATTTGAAAATGAACTCAGCCAATGGAGTGAAGCCAGGATAGGAGTTATATGCTCTCTCTTACAGGTTCTGGTTAGAAGTCGTGCAGCAGGATTTTGGACCAGCTGCAGACGGAGATGCAGAAGAAAGGAATAAAAATAAATGTTTTTTCCAGTTTTTCTTACAGGTGTTTTGGTTCAGGTCCAACACAAAGTGACTTTTTGAATATGAACACATGAACATGTGCCCACCCCAGTCAGAAATGCAGATGTTGTCATTTGCAGCCAGATGTGTGCACTTTCATTTATTACAGTTATTCTTTGCAAAAATTAATCACTTATTTGAAAAACTAGACATGCTTAAACCAAAAGAAATTTTGCACAAAACTTACATATTTCGTGGGCCTTGCAAGTGGGTGGAGCACAATGGCCTCATCGCACCGCTTATAAAACTGCAGAAGCTTAGCCCCACCGCTGTGTTTCAGGTAGGGCGCTATCGCTGTTGCTCACACATTTAATTCAACTTGGCACTGCCATTGTGGTACATTGCATCATTTGCATGACTCCTTCAGTCTGTGTCATTTAAGAGAGTGAAACTGTTTTTTATTGGCTCATTTATTGTTAGCTGTTAGACCTTGAGACACAGGTGACATCAGTTCCTGGGTAGACCCATCCCCTGCAGCTAATTTTAGATCCCAGAGTCATCCTGCTGAGTTCACCTTTAGGAATGTGGACTCCTCCCACATATTTGAATAGCACTCCTTGTTTTTATACTGCACTGCAGTAAATGTCACAAAGGAAGTAAACAAATCTTTAGCATTTATGGTGAAAATGAGTCACCCGCTGTGGGTGTGCACATGACTGATTTTACATCCTGAGGTTTTAGGCTGACCAACGTGGTCAGAATCTCATCAGAAAAACATTTGTGCCAAAGATAATAGTACCACCGTCCAATGGGAGTGTGCTCCAGGTGCTGAAGTAGATGTGAGAATTGGAAAGCAGGAAGATTGATTACGCACAGGAAACAGGGAAACACACAGGGTTCCCACTGCAGCCCCCACCCCTCTGCCCTGTCAGGAAACCCCCATCTGTGCCTGAGCTCAGAGTAACACTGTTGGGAATGCGTGCCTCTCTGATATCAGGGTGAAATGTTCTCACAGACCTAAGATGTCATTCAGCGCTATCCATTCCTCACATACATCCAGTTGAAGAAGCATCCAATGATTATCTGTGAGAAATGACTGATTGGTAAAAAGGAAAAGGTTACATCATGTTTTGGCCTGAAAGCTTCTGAGCCGATGCTGAAACAGTGCCGTTGAAGGTGAGTGATAATCTGTCGCTCACAGTAGATTCAGATGATAATGCAGCCCTGAATCTGATGGACCTCAGAGCTGCTGCCTTCTTCGCCTCAGACACTGGGTTGGCATTGAGGCTGCAGCTCATCACTGGTTCAGTTCTCACTTTACGGGGAACACTGGGATTCATCCTGGGACCAGTCGTCTTGTAACCGTGTCTGCTTCCATTTGGTGATACTATTAGGAGATTAAACATCTGCTTTCATTTCTATGCTAATGATTTACAGTTTAAACCTCAGGGTTCATTACAACCTCTACCAGGCTGTCCACTAATAACGTCCTCTAGTTAAGGTCCGAACTCTTCCACAGCAGCATTTTTAATTTCTCTTTGATATTTGGGCTGATTGGGACCTGATGAATGTAAAAACAAAGAATTACCAGATTGTTGTTTTTTTTACCTGATTTTTTTTTCTGAGAAAAATGAGACCCATATATGATATTTGTTTAGAATTTCGATAGAACAGTGGCAGCATGATGTCCTCGTAAGTGGATATCAGGCCCTTGTAGAGCAAAATTTAGTATTTTGGTCTAAATAACCCAAAATGTGACGTCCACATATGTGGTCGCAGGTCCTAGGAGGTTAAACAGTGACAAAACTGAGGTCCTCTTCCTTAGTCCCTCCACGTCTTGAAGTAGGCTATATGAATGCAGCTTGTTAACTTAGCTAGAACAGTACAGTAAGATGCAGCTTAAAGCACCTGAAGTGGCCGAATGAGCTGAGCATCCAGACTTCATGATGTCAGAGAGGGTGGATATTCCAAATGCTGATGAAATGAGGGGCTGCTCATCAAAAGCTGCACAGAATTAGGATCTGGAACCTTTAAACACAACCAGCTATGCCTTGACTTTAGATCTGAACCGTTTCCACACTTCAGTCAGAAACAGACTGAGTTACTTATTTTGCACGTGTGATTTTGACTTTTAACAGCAGTTTTCCTGCTGGAGGCTCCCATTCACTGGTTGTTATTTACCTTGCTGAATGTGTATTTGTCAGTACTGTTTGAAGCAGTGGCGGTTTGCTATCGCCCATTTGCAGAGATGGGCAGTAACGCATAATCTGATTACTTTTTTCAAGTAACGAGTAAAGTAAGGGATTACTATTGCAAAAACGGTAATTAGATTACATTTACTTTCCCGTAGGAACGCTGCGTTACTGCGTTACTAAAACCGTGATTTTTTTGTGAGAATGTCTCATGACAGTGACGTAAGCGAGTGCGACGTTCGTGACAACAGCTGTGTGCAGATCAACAATGGATCACATATCGAGTGCAGAGAGAGTATGAGCGTGCAGCGTTTAAAGCGTGGAAGTACTGACCTTACTTTGAGTTTGACTCCATAAAAAGTGACAAAAACATTAGTGTCCGCTGTGCGTGGGAAGAAAACTTCTTTTTACAGCGAAAAAACCCCTAAACTTCCAACAAGCACCAAGTAGCTACGACGTAATGGGAAACTCACAGAGAAACTCGCGGATTCTTCCACTGACCGCGGCACACCTGCACCAGGGTAACCCTCCGCCTGCCCCACTCCTGCTTTACAGGTGAAAATAGAGCAACAGGACCGCTGAGTCTTTGACTTTATTTATTTTCTGCTGTGTTTTACTTGCATCTATTTGAAAGACTGAGTGTAAACACAAAAAATATTTTATTTTATGTGCTGGAATGTGCAGAAAACAGGTTTAAATGTTAAACTAATTTCTTCCAGTCAGAGAATGTTGCAGATAATTAAATTTTTGCTTGATGCATAAAGTTAAAAGATTAAAACTAATAAAACAAGTTTTAAAAAGAGACTTTTTCATCTGATTACATTTTGTATGATGATTATGCAGAAAAAGTAGAATTGGGCTGAAAGATCTATCACTTTAT